GATCAAAATTTCATTTGGATCAGTTGAGGTGTTTACAAGAAAACATAGCTAATGATTGTTACATTTCTTTTACCCCCCAAAATGTGCCGTAACAAACCATCAGTGCATCAAAGAAGTCCTCAGCCAGCTTGATCATAGCCTCATTTCTTGATGACCCTGCCTCCACCCACAGCTTTCTGGCCTTCTCGAACCACTGCACCATGTAAACATACATTTTCAAGCAATAAAAACATTCTTCTTCTTCTTCACCAAAACAGATATAGAGAGAATAGAAACACTGATTATAAACTCATCTTCTTAACAAATCCCTGGGCAACCATCACAGATATTCCTCCACCGCCTGGAAACACCAGCATCTCGCCATATTTGTGTAAAACGGTAAGCACCAGACAAGCATTGTCCACATTTCCAAGATCCATTTCCTGCAAGAACATACAACAGTACATATAAATCCAGTGAAGAATTCATACAGTTAAGACATGAAGGCAATGTTAAACATATAACTAACCCTGATGAAAAGCTTATCCAGCTTGGTCATGAATTGTCTGGAACATTTTATAGTGGTTCCTTCCTTGTTTTCATCTTGTAAGAATTTTTCTAGGTCCTGAAAATGATTGTGTTTAAAAGCCTCTTCCACCAGTTTCTCCACCTAAGCAATAAAATATAAAGTGAACTTTGTGGTCCTAATGAATAAAAAAAGCATCTCATATAATTACAGATGACAAAAGCATTTCAGAAGAGAGAAGTTAAAACCATTTTCCCAGAAATAAAAGGTTTAATTCTCACCTGATGGTCCTGCAAAGGTGCCATGCTGCACAGACGATGACCTGTTTTAAATGTTGAAGACATTAAATAATTCATAAATATGAATCTCAGATGCAGATCATTCAAAGAAAACACAATTCCAGGAAGATGAGGACTCGGTCGTCTTTAAATGTCAGTCCTCATATTTCTCAGAATTGAATTAAATTAACCAAAAAAGGAACAAAACTATGTGGTTGGCTTCGTTTATGTGATGTATTAATCAATGTGCCATCTATTACGTTAAGCAAATTGTGCTGTTAGCCGTTTTATTCCGTCAACTTAACATAACCTTAGTTAATAAACTACAGCACAGGCAGCGAAAATACTGTCGCAAAATAATAGACATAACCGTAAAAATGAATGCTGTAAGCGATAATATTTAACTGAATAATTAGATTAAATCGTGGCTATTTTAGGCCGTCTAACGTTACTGGGTTTTCAGATCTTACCTCAGATTATGACCGACGCTTCTGCGGACTTCAGGAGGACATTTTACATAGCTTTTATTATTAACAAATTATGTGAAGTTAACGTAGATCGTAAAGGTACAGTTACCGAGACGGAAATGGTCAACTTACACTCAAAATAGTTTGTTAAAGAGCGATTATTTCGCTTTTGACGGTTGTACTGTAACGTTGTGTTTTGATAACGCGGGAAAACGAAAATGACGCGCACGCGCAGACGCTAAAATGGACGCTCGCGCTGACAACTCAGATCTTATCGGTTCAAAACTCACCGAGTGTACTATGAATACTATAGTAAAATAATAATAATAATCATAATCATAATCATACATTTTAAAAGCAGAATGGCACAAATCTTACAAATAAAACGTACTGGAAATATTTTAATGATTTATGAATTCCCGGTTTATATACACATATGAAATAGCATTGGTTTTAGTAAACAGAATTGTATTCAAACAAACAAGACATGCAAATGACTTTTAGTATCTTTATTGTAAATATAAATGTCAATAACGTTGTTGTTATAACCTGAATCATGGCACTAACAAACTAAACTTACAATAAAAACACTTAAAAAGCAGAACGCTGTAGTGATTACATTTTTGTAGTTCAAGCCAGTTTGCATCAGCCTGGTTATCTTGACAAAACAGCTTTTTTCAAGCATTTTTTAAATTTTTTACTTTTTCCGTGCCAGTTCCAGTTTCTAGAAACCAACTGACTTCAGGATGATGGAATCGGAAGTGCTAAAATGCTCATTCATTTCTGAGTTCTGACCTACACATATATATCACCCCTGCACTTTATAAACAGCAGGATCTTTATTTATTTAACCAGGAAATTAAAAACTCTTGAGATTCAAAATCTCATTTACAAGAGGGTCCTGGCCAAGATAGGCAGCACATTTAGTTACACATAAAACTAAATACATTCTTTTACACACACAGAAACATACACAAATCACTCAACACATTTACAATCAGGTGACTCTACAATTAGATCCTTTAACATACATTTAAAATCATTTAGTGATACTAACTCTATTAAGCATAACTTATCTTGTAGTCGATTCCAATCAAATGGAGCAGCATAACTAAATGCCCATGTGCCCATGTTAGTACGAACTTTAGGGATGCTTAAAAGATAATAGACTTGTGAGCGAAGACCATAAATTCTTTACACCTTTTTGTAAGATATTCTGCTGTAAATACGAAGGAAGTAAACCTAAAATGATTTTATATATAAATAAGTACCAATGCTTAAGTCTACGGGATGACAACGCCACCCCGAGAGTACAATAAACAATGATGAGTAAGGGCTTTTGAATTTGTGATGAACCTTAATGCTCCATGATAAACTGAATCCAACACCTGTAAACAATGCTTAGGTGCCTGCATGTACATGATATCACAATAATCCAACACTGGCAAAAATTTAGCTGCTACCAATCTCTTCCTTGCTGCAAAAGAAAGACAATACTTGACTCTAAAAAAGGCCCAGTTTCGACTTTAATTTTCTCACAAGGTACTGAATATGAGGCCCAAAAGAAAGAGAATCATCAATTAAAAATCCCAAGTATTTATACTTAGATACTACTTCAATCTCCAAACCTTGAAGAGTAGTGATTGAGCATGAGTTTGAAAGTGCAGACTTTCTTTTTGTAAACATCATAAGTTTAGATTTCTCTGCATTTAAAACAAGTTTTAAATCACTCAGTGTATGCTGAAATGCATCAAAATCAGATTGAAGATGACTCAGAGCCTGATCCAATGTTGATGCAGAGGAGTAAATCACCATATCATCAGCGTATAAATGAAAACTTTAATGTGTGAGATTATTCCCAATATTCTTAATATATAAAATAAATAATAATGGCCCAAGGACTGATCCCTGTGGTACGCCGATATTAACATTCAGAGTACAAGAAGTGAATCCCTCTATATTTATACATCTATAGATCAATCCGATAAGTAATTAACAAACCACCTGACAGTATTTACTGATAAACCTACACTAAGTAGCCTCTGCTTCAAAATTTTATGATCTACGAAATCAAAAGCTTTGGATAAATCGATAAAAAGAGCAGTACTATGGTTTTTATTATCCAATGAAACCATTAAATCATTTAATACTTCTATTGCTGAGGATGTACTATGTTTTTTCCTAAAACCAGATTGGAACTCTGAGAAGGCATTTTTAGAAGATAGAAATTCTTTTAATTGGTCATTCACAAGTGCTTCCAAAACCTTTGATAAAATAGACAATTTCGAAATAGGCCTATAATTATTAAAGAAAGATTAAAAAGATAGGTTAGTGGTGGTGCAATAAAATCAGCTGCCAGCTTTAAGAAATGTGGATCCAACTTATCTGGACCAGCTTGTTTCCTACTATCTAAAGATTTAAGTGCCTTATTAACCTCTGAAACTGTTACTGGGTTAAAGTCAAATAATTGGTCTACCTTAAAATGATTTACACTAGAGTAAACAGGTGAGGAATTATCACAGGTCAAATTATTTGACTGATGAAGTGTATTCTTTTAGATTTATTGGCCGCTTTTGATACAGTTGACCACTCCACACTCTTATCCAGACTAGAGTCCTGGGTGGGTCTAAAAGCTACCGTTCTTAATTGGTTTCAGTCATACCTGTCTGACAGAAAGTTTTTAGTGAAGCTGGGTAATTTTACCTCTTCCAATGCACCTCTGACCTGTGGCCTACCGCAAGGCTCTATATTAGCTCCTTCTCTATTTTCTCTCTACATGCTACCTCTGGGCTCTATTCTAAGGAAACATGGTGTCTCTTTTCATTTCTATGCAGACGATACTCAAATCTATCTACCAATCAAAAGAAACAATCTATCAGTCTATCCATTTTTAGATCTTCACAGGTGCGTAACCTAGGTGTTCTTGTCGACCAGCATTTAAAATTTGATAAACATATCTCCTCCGTTATCGGATCCAGTTTTTATCAACTTCGTCTACTGTCTAAAATCAGAGACTCTCTCACTCCAAAAACTCTAGAAAAGGCTGTTCATGCATATACCCTGCCTTTAGAAATTAGAATGGCCCCTTCTCTGCCTGTCTTTAAGTCCCTGCTAAAAACCTATCTGTTTTCCTTAGTGTATTGATTACTGTTATTCTGTAATTTTTTAATGGGTTGTTCATATTTTTTATTTGGCTTGCTTTCTGTGTATGTTTTTATGAATTTCTCTTCTGTAAAGCACTTTGGTCAGCTTAGTGGCTGCTGTAAATGTGCTATACAAATAAAATGAACTTGAACTTGAACTACCAGTGACCACAAAACGTTAATTTAAACAATCTATTATTTTAACTTTATTCACAATTTTACATGAATCCTTAATAATACATGACGGAAAATCTGAATTTGATTTACTTGCAATGAGATTTTTAATCCAAAAAGTTTTTGTATTATTTAGATTATTAGAAGTTTCTAAAAGAAAGTAGTCAACCTTAGCTTTTCTAATCGCAGCAGTAGACACATTACGCAATTGTCTGAAAATCAACCAATCTTCCTTTAGATTAGTACTTCTGGCTTCAGACCAAGCCAAATTATGTTTTCAAAGTAAATTTGACAGTTCGGGTGTAAACCATACATTATGTCTGCCTTTACTCTAAACTTTCTAAAAGGAGCATGCTTATTTATAAAATAGGTAAAACTTTCATAAAATAACTCCATGCAATTTCAACTTCTGGAATAAGATGAATTTTCCCCAATCAATATGGCTTTATTTTGAAGGTTTTATGAGTGCAGTAAAGAATTGCTGAATAGTTTTTTTAATCAGTTCTTCAAAACAAGTGGCATTACCCATCCTAATTTATTCTATCAACATCTGTGTTTACAATATCTACAAGTATTATGAAAACGTACCACATAGTGACAATAACATCCTCACGCAAGTGCAAACCTGAAATGTAAAAAAATACAGTAAAGGCACTTTTTAAATCTATATTACATTTTCAAGCCAACATGCAGTAATACTCTCAGTGCTGCAGTCCAGTTGTCACAATCTTAAAGTTAAAAATCTCATATTTCACATGGCTTCACGTTAATCACAAATGAAATACACTACGGCAAGACTTTCAGAAGGTCAGCAATGTATATTACACGGTGAAAATGCTGGTGGTTGCAAGCAAAATATAAAGTGAAACAGTGCTTTAAAAATCAGTGTCCTCAGATAAAGTGTATCATGCTGTCTTCACATTCCTTCGGCACAGGCAGTTTATAACTCTGACAGGTTAACTTGTAATTCTGCCCACCATTGTTATCCCAAAACTGCACGCCCATTACTTCATAACAAATGGCAAACTCCAGCACTGCTCCAGGGTGAAGGATATATGGAGGAACGGGTAGATGAAATCGAAAAGTGTCACAGCAGGGCCCGTTTGAAATGGATTTGCTTGCAACCCAGTAAGCCTTGGTTTCTGAGCAGCTCTTCCAGTTTGTAAAAGAGTAGCGAACACTCACTTCCTTCTCAAATGCCAAGTTTACAACTTGAACGATCCCTATAATTCCAGGCTCATAGCACAAAACCCGCTCCAGACATACTTGTTGGCAACCCAGACGCTCGGTGAAGTTTGAACAGTCCCCTGGCTGGACTGAGAACATCGGTTTCAAATATGGTAGGGAAATCTCCATCCTCTTACTTGAGGCTAACTCTGCATTCATTAAGAGTCGGAAGAGAACATGCTCTGGGACAAACGGGTCCTCTCCGCTTTTGAAAACCTTGACATTTTCCAGGTCCAACCCTAAAGAGTCCACAAACCGGACGCTGGCTCTACGACTAAGCCTCCTTCTCTCTGATGGAGATGGAAGGGACTGCGTGCGCCTCTGGATGATGGATTTGGTTGGTGGTTCACATGACAGGCTGCGGCCTGCTGTTTGCCTTGGAGCAGTTTTTGGGCTCGGCGGACGAATTTTAACCGGCCTCTTTCCACTGTCAGTTTTTGAGCGGGACATGTCCAGCAAATTCTGTGTAGAACTTTCTTTTGGGCCATCTGATACTGTGGTAAAAAATAGGTCAGCGTTCATCTCTTCGAGGGGTGTGTCTTTATGGCAACATCCCAAAGACCAGGCCATGTTTATTAGAAAGAGTTACCTTGTGTGACCTAAAAAAGACAAACATTCTGTGTTATGAATATTTATAAGTATTTTACAGTATTAAATATTCTAGTAAGCAATATCAGCTAATACTGTGCAGCTGTGGAAACATGGCAAACACACTAGCTACTTCAATCTCAGCTGGATTACTGAACACTTTAATGCAAAGTAATGCAACTTACATTTCAAGGCTTTCAAAATGGCAAATTGTCAGTGCAAACGTATATTAGTCAATGACTGCGCCTCTGTACAAAAATAAAAGGAAGAGGTTCAAATTGGCGTTTGCATTGTCTCACCAGGAAAGTCCAGCGTGTTTAGGTTAACGACGATCCTCCGATGCTATTTTTTTTATAAACCTGCATTTCATAATAAGAAGCGCGACAAAAACTCTGTGCAAAGGTGAAGTATAGTACGTGATACAACACATATACGATGCATTTCAAGCAAACTGCGCAGAGCTGGCAGGAGCGTGATGTCAAACAGAAGGGGCGTGGCTACTGAGTCAGCTGTGCTGGGAAATGCTGGTGAGGTTGCCATGTCCTCCTATTATAAGTAGCTGTAAGTGGCCATTGTAAGACAGCAAGTGTGTGAGTGTAGATCTTTTGATTACCTGATGGAACACGCTTACAACATAGCGTTGTAAAAATGCAAGTAAAGCTTTATTTACACATCTCCAATACTTTACATTTTAAATGAACTCGTCTGTTCAGTAGTCCTTATATAACAGATGACACAATTGAGTTGTGGTGCTTCTAACTATGTGATAAAAAGCAGTTGCAAATGTTTTACAAAATACACATACTCATCTCTGCACTAATAAAATGGGGTTTACTTCCAAATGATATGTAATATCTAATTAATGTATCGTACACTACCACAAAGCGGCATTAGAGAATCTAATAAATACAAATATATTATAGGGTAGGCCTACTTGTTTTATATACACTACCAGTAAAAGTTTGGAATAACTATGATTAAAAAAAAAAAAGTCTCTTATGCTCACCAAGTCTGCATTTATTTGATTAAAAATGCATGTAAAAACAGTAATATTGTGAAATATTATTACAATTTAAAAGACCATTGTAAATATTAGAATGATTTATGAAGAACCGGCTGACACTAAAGACTGGAATAATGCTAAATGTTACCATCACAGGAATAAATTGCATTTTTAAATATAGGCTACTAAAATAGAAAACAGTTATTTAAATTCTAATAATATTTCGCAATATTACTAATTGCAGCTTATTCTGAGCATAAGAGACTGCTTTCGAAACATTTCAAAATCTGAACTAAATAGAATATTTTTTCGTAGCTTAAGCCAGTGTTTCCCAGTGTGTGCTGGGAAACACTGTCTAACCCTACTGTTAGACCTACCTGAAAAACTATAAAAGCCTACATTAAAATCTGTCATATAAATTGGTCTCTTCATTAGAAATGAGCCTACTGACTGCCACCATTGATGGACAAAAATGTTTAATAATATAAAAAATATCTGTATGACATTATATTCTGCAGTTCTTCCCTGTTGTGCCGTATATCTATTACTTTTCAAATGATCACATCGAAGTTAGAAATTCAAATATTGTGACAAAATTAATTTTGTAGGGTGCCACAAGTTTGTTAAAATTTCCAAAGGGTGCCGCGACTAAAACAAGGTTGGGAAACGCTGGCTTAAGCTATGGTTTTAATATTTTAGTCAGACACAAACAGGGATCACAAATGATTTTTTTCCCGGGTATAATCAGAACAGGATCCTTGCACTTCTTCTATCTGGCAACCCCGCTTTTAAATTTTAATAAAACAGTGATTTTGCGAACTTACACAACCCCAATATCAGCGCCCTGAGCCCTGAGACACACACCTACACATACATGAGCGCTCGATACGAGCAGCGGTGAAATCAACGCTTTTCACTTAGGAACTTCAATTCCCATCATGCCTGTCGGAGGATCACGACGACAACGATGCTCGAGCATACAAAGCAGCAGGTAAACAAGTCTGCTCGAGCTGCTGTAGTGATGCTCAGTAACGTTTCGCACATTGCTGGATGATGGGGGCTTCATAACCAAGACGCAAAGGTGATTATTGCCCTCTTTAAATGTCAGCGTTAAGAAATAGTTTGTTTAACGGACTGCTCCAATTCTTGGCAAACTGGAAAATATATAAACTGTGACGCTGATATTTCGCTGCGTTTCTGCAATGGTGCTCTTCAGTCGCTCGGTGCGTGCATGCGCTCACAAATGGGACATTTTGGGGCACAGCTGAGAGCTTCAAAACTGCGTCTGTACACTTCATAGTGCTTAATGCGATGGGACCCATCCTGCAGGAACAAACTGCGTCTGCGACACTGAGGAAGGTGCCAGGCAAGGAGAAGGTTAGAATGAAAAATGCAGAAAACACTGGGATTGTTGCCAGGTATGTCTGAATAGAGCAGTTTATTAAAATCACACAAGAATAACCAAAATGTGTCACTAAGAATATGTGCTTTATTTGCAGCAATAATAAGAGAGGAGGAAACGTGATCCAGAATAAGAAACCTCTTAAAAAAACAGTGTCCTTGCATCCAGGGCAAGAGAAGGATCCTCTGCCCAAAGCTGAAATTGTAAGTTACATATGCAACGATAAGATGCATTGATCCTGTGTTGGCAGCAGTTTGAATATGTTTTCATGATCTTTCCAAGGTCCAAAATGGCATTAAACCAAAGAAAGCTAAGAGTCCGACTGGTGGCACTTGCAAGTTGCGTGGGTGAGTGTTGCTTTACATATGGAATTTAATATATAAATAACCATAAAAAAAGAAAAGAACAAAATTAAATAAAACAAATGGATATATTTCACTACAGAATGCTGCCATTGACTAATCAGAAACAAAGTGATACAAATTAGAGCTGGGTATTGACACAGATTGTACAATTCCGATTCACAAGCTCTTGATTTGATTCGTTTTGATATTGATTCATTTTGTTATATATCAGGAGTTTTTTTTTTTATATAACTTCCTAGTGATAAAATTATGCTTCTACTCCTTCATTGATGAAATTTAAATGGTGACTGTCCTAACCCGACAGATTTATTCAAACATGCATTAAGACATCACTAATAGATAAAAATTTAATGAATATGTAATATAATGCACTATATGTGCTCCACCCTATTATCTACAACATATCTTATGCTCATTCTGCTAGCTTTTCTTTCACCATTTCCATTAAAATATACTCCTTTTTTATACTTTAGTGAATATCTGGTTAGAAATTCAATTGTCTTTACCTGTAGTAGATCCATTTACAGGCTGCACTCATAATAAAGATCTGCTTCATCATCATCACTGACAAACAATATGACATTTCTGAGTTTTGTTTCTTTAAATGAATTGTAGGTAAATATCCACCTCATCCAGCACTCTTTTTGTCTTATTGTCTTATCCAGCACTCTCTTCTGGCTTATAAAGTAATCTGTTACTGTTTCAATGTGAGAAACCACTGGAAACAATTGGGTGTGTACGTGAACTGTCCAAATGAACCAAACTGCATCACAAACAATTCCAGACCTTTTTGGAAACCCATTTCACTAATTAAATCAGAAATAAGTGATTCATTTGTGAATGTGGCATCATTTGATTCTTAATGCCCGATAGAAAACACATAGCATGATTGCTAAAATATTGTCATTTTACTCTTTAAACTCTGTGATCAAATTGTAGTTATTATGATAATTAGATGGGAGACATGCTACAAAAAAACATTAGTGATGTTTGTTCATGCCTCAGCAGAATTGATCTTGGAATTTAAGAATGATATCAGTCCATGAAAGTCAAAGTAATCACAAGTGTTGTCAACCCAGCCCTAATAAATACAGTATATTGATAAAATATCTCACTTGAACTATTGCTGCAGCACACAGGGCGAATCAGACCTGAGGCCTCCACGTCCCAAACTCTCTTGTCCCGAGCGTGGACAGGAGAGGCAGAAAATCCAGCTGGAGAGGCAGAAAATCCAGCTGGAGCCTCAGTGCTGTAAAGAGATGGTACTGAGCCACGTGGCCTTGGAGAAGAGCCGTCGTGCTCTATCGCTGCCTTTGACTCCTCAGTCAGTGCTGCAGCAGTTCACTCCGCAGAAACAAGTCCCAGACCTGGACTCACTTCGCCTCCTGGAGCACAAGGAGGATGACACGGACAGCGCCAGCGACCTGTCCGACTCTGAGAGGCTCCCTGTGCTGCCTTCCCCCTGCACTCCTCCTCAGCTCAACCTCCGAGCCGAGGTCATCAACTCCATGGACCTGCATCCTCACATACCTGGACCCTGGACGGTGGAGAACAATGAAGTCAGCTATAGCTACCCAGACTTCCTGCCTCCTCCGTTCAATACCTGGAGTCTGAGGCAGCTCGCCATTTTCCTCAACACTGAGGGTAAGCGAGCTCCCCGGCCCAAACCCGTAGAGCAGCTAGAGAAGTATTTAGAGCGCCTCCTTCAACTTGAGTGGCACCAGATCCAAAGCATACAGTCTGAGAACGGACGGCACATAGTTCCCATCATCCGAACAAGAGGTCACGCCACCAGTGTCCTAGTGAACGGCAACCGGCCTAGGCCTCATACTGCTCCTCCGACACGCCTCAGCTCCCCGAAAAGCTTTCGGCAGGGTCAACGGGCCTTCTTCTCTTCAATGGCCAGCCCATCATCCACCCAGCTTTCTCGTCCCGTCTGCCCTTATTGCCACATCCGCTATCCGCTCTGCAACGGCACCTGCTCTTCATACGCCTACCAGCGGCATTCCCGTCTCAGCCCCCTGCTAGAGCGCAAAGCTCCCCCTGCCAACACCCAAAAGAGGAGCAGCAGTGAAAGCCGGGCTTCCACCTCCGAAAACCGCCCCACTTCAAAAAACCAGCAACCGGTCAGTCCTCAGGCGGCAAAGGCTCACCAGAAGCACATGCAGTCTGCAGGAAATGTGCGCAGGGCGTCCCATGAACTTAATGCAAATGGCAAATCCCATTCTTCGGTCAGGAAAGGAAAGACTGCGAGGTCAAACGAGGCAGACAAACAGAAAGATCCACCTGGAGCAAAATTTGGAGGGGTTGATAGGCGGGATCCTGTCGGTATGAAACGCGAAGGTGGTGGTCCAGGGAAAAAAATGGTTAAGGATGGTCCGAGAGCCGAAACTGGTGAAGTACGATTAAGATCTGGCACTAAAAGAACGGTCACCCACTTACAACCCTGAGAGAGGGCGAAAGATAGATTACTGCTTTTTAATAAAACATATCTTCATGAACATAATAGTACAGTATGTCCAGTTACTTCCAACATACCTTCTCAGGATCATAATCAGGAGATGTTTTTTGCACTGCAACATTAGTGAGATGAACGTCTGTGTAATTCAAGGTTAAAGGGGACAAACAAGTGAATTCCTGTTACTATGGGGCATAATATAAAACTGGGGGTGTGTGTATTTCAGAAATGTATGCAAAGGATACACTGATCGTCTATGCTGCTAAGAGAGAACCTGGTGTTGGAAAATCGAGCAAAACCATCACGATACAGCAAGGCCTTCAATGGAATATACTGCGAAAAACAAAAATAAGCACCTTTCACGCAATTTTCAGTTGCCTCAAAAACATTTCCATTTTGCATACTGTAAAGAAGAGCTAATTAAAACATAATATTATCCTTGCAGTTAACTGTAGTTGTTTGTGAAAAGAATACAAGTGCCGTCACATTGGCAAAATTTTGAGGGAAAAAAATAGGTTAATTGTTTATTGTTAATAACTCACCCAGAAGTCACTTTCAGCTTTTTGTCGGTCAACAAGGACCAACTTGAAATGTGCACAGGATCGCATGGATTCTGATTAAAATGCTTGGATTTTGCCAATGAAAATTTGCCGGACAACTGCAAATGTGAACACACTTTCAAAAAAACGCATCCTTCTCTTTAGAAATCATGCCTTTTCATCGTCAATGTTTCATTAGAACTTTAAAGTGCATTTCTTGAATAAGATATATTTATTTGATCTGCCACAAAAGTACACAAAAGCAGGTTATCGTTACATACTGTACACACAAATCCTCTATGAAATGAAATAAATGTACTTAAATCTAGTGTGCACATATCTCTTATTTGAGGGAGGTATGGCTGAGAATGTCAGCTTCTGGCTTTGTCTAGTAAGCACTATTGGTCAAAGAATGTATATTTTTTGAGATGAATAATGAATGTTTTGTAATGACTGTGTATTTTTGTAAAGTGCTATTTACAAGGACTTCTTTTCTTGTCATTTATTGAACCAATGAGTTGACATATTAAGTTAAATAAGAAGGTTTTATCTTTGAATGTTTTGGAACTCATTACTTAGGTTTTCAGCGAGTTAGATGTAGTTGAATTGTGAATTGTTAGGATTGCTTATGGTGGTTTTGTGGTGTGTTGCTGGAGAAGGACCTGAGCTGTAAACTGTTAAGTTATTAGGGGTGGGAGAAAAAATCGATCCATCGATGCATCGCGATTCTCTCTCCAACGATTCTGAGCTTAGTTTTTAACCAGATGCGCGATGACACTGAGTTTGCTTTAGAAACACCCGTATTCTGCTTGCTTCCAATTCCTCACACACATACACCACACGAACCTTCCGTAAAATAATATTTCATAAAGTCTGGAAAGGTTGAAACGGATTACAAGGACATTCGCGGGCTTCATTGCACAGGATGCGCTGTGAGAGACAATCGCTTTGTTTGAGGTTACACTTGGAAGTGTAAGTCTGTATTTTCCTTACAAATGCTCTACGAACTCATCATTTATGTGGTTTGGAATGCAGTGGACTTATATATTTAAAATATGAACCTCACTAACAGAAGGCTGATTTCAATTTCAAATGCTGACGCGTGCTTTGTTTGTGAAGACTGCTCGCGCAGGCATTCTGGAATCAGATCGTGAGGTGACTAAAGATTCCCACCCCTATAAGATATTATGGTGAAGGTTATCTATGTTTGTTTACTTATTGAGAACCTTTCAGGTGATTACATTGTACTTCATGTCTCTAAATATAGCATGTTTTGTTTATTTTTACAGGAACAATGATGGTAGTGGTTTTATATGTACTGTAATGCATTGTCAAGGCACTTGAATATGACTTGAAAGTTGGTACGGGTTGAGGCCATACAGTACATGATACCACATTTCCATACTTGATGTACTGTATGTAGCACCATTTCATCTTGTATGTTATGTACTGGGTCAAGTTCCCTTATCAGGCAAAAACACGCAACAATCTACTTTTGTCCTGTCATTGTCAGATTGTGCTTTTATTTTGCTGGGAGTTTTTGGTAGAGTTGAATGCAGCTATTTTTATGAGATACAAAATAAAGAGTTTTCATTACATCATCAAAGCCTCCGTCTACAGTATTTATTTTAATGTGGAAATTGATACCGTCATTATATTCTCATTAAACCAGAACAAGCACAGACAGTGTCATTTTCAGGTTGTGAATGAACATTTTCAGTGACTTTGCCATGCCTTCTGTGTATTTAAATGCTCCTATTTACAATCATCTGAATCCTTAGGTGCATATTATAACAATTGTGGGTATTTGTGTGATCGTCATGAATAGTTTGTCACACTAATTTGATGTCATTTGCAGGTTGTCATGTCCTCTTCTGTCCTGGGAAAGGCTTTAAAAGCTGTTGAAGCTGTTTCTGTCGATCATTCACGCAGCCTGTGTAATGCAAAGCAAACAAAAACCATTTGTATTTGGAGATGATAGTAAATTCTGCTATAATATGTAATGTTATAGGTGTTACATTATTATTAAAAAATACATTTTGTTTATCTTTTATACATTTTAATTTGTAAATTTACTTCAAGGAATCGTTCACCTAAAAATACAAATTTGCTTAAAATGTAAAAATGTACCATCCAAAATGTAGATTTGTTTCATCATCTGACAGATTTGGAGTATTTTAGCATTACATCACTTGCTCAACAATGGATCCTCTGCAGTGAATGGGTGCCGTCAGAATGAGAGTCTAAATGGCTGATAAAAACATCAGTAATTCACAACACGAATCCAGTCCATCAATTAGCATTTTGTAAAGTGAAAAGCTGCATCTTTGTAAGAAACAAATGCATCATGAAGGGGTATTAAACTTTTAAATACAAGTCCTCTATCCATACTGCTTTCTCCAATGAAAAAGTTGTCTCATTTGAATCAGGAAGTGACGGTTTAATATTAAAATGTCTTATTGATGAATTTGTTTATTACAAACAAGCAGCTTTTCACTTCACAAGAAGTTAATTGATGGACTGGAGTCATGTGGATTACTTGTGGATTATTGTGATGTTTTTATCAGCTGTTTGGACTCTCATTCTGACGGCACCCATTCACTGCAGAGGATGCATTGCTGAGCAAGTGATGCAATGCTAAATTGCTCCAAATAGGTTATGATCATACAGTTTTGGGAAGTTTTGATGACAGAAATTTCTAGACTTTTTAAAGCCCTATTTGGTACCTTATTTTTTAAAAGTATCATGCATGCACTGTGAATTAATATATGTTTTGTTTAACTGTGTGACATTCAAAAAATGCCTAAGATTGTACAAAAACTACTAAGCTCTACTAAGCACAGAAACAGGCTCACTGAGTGTACTACAGGCCAAGATCTCCATTGAGGCAATGTAAGACACTGACCGAGATGTGTATTTGCCACGAGGCAAGAACTACCCAGAGTCTCTAGTCCGACATCCGTGTAGACAGGTCCATCATTCCACATTAGGTCAAATCCGCCAACCCTCTTCTCCTTGCCTGTAAGACTAAGTGGAAAAGCATGTTTTGGACAACAATGTCAACATACACAATCATCCACACTCTTCTTTCATGTAATTTTATACTATTTTGTCAAACCGTACCGGCCTTCCATGTCTACAATGTGCAAGGTGTCCTCCAGCAGTCTGTATTTTAGCTCATAGTCCTCCTGACTGCTGGCTGTGAGGGAGGGTGAAGCGTTCACTTCAATTAGCCACCTGCAGAACGGCAAACTGTGCTGTCATTTTTTTAAGCCATGCAATCCCCACATTCATTCAGTTCTGCTAAGTATCCTGTCAAAATAAGCAATCAAAAATAAAGCACTCTCACGGCTTTAAATCCTGGTCCAGTAGTATGTCATATCCGTACAACTCAAAACAGTGTTTGTCATTGATGATGGTCTTCTGAACACTAAGCAGGCTGCGAATAAATATGTTGTCAATTTCTTTAAATAGAGTCTGCACTGTCTCGAAACCATGCTTGGCGGTCAGGTACTGCCGTAGCTGCTGCATCTGCCACTTACAACCCTGAGAGAGGGCGAAAGATAGATTACTGCTTTTTAATAAAACATATCTTCATGAACATAATAGTACAGTATGTCCAGTTACTTCCAACATACCTTCTCAGGATCATAATCAGGAGATGTTTTTTGCACTGCAACATTAGTGAGATGAACGTCTGTGTAATTCAAGGTTAAAGGGGACAAACAAGTGAATTCCTGTTACTATGGGGCGTAATATAAAATTGGGGGTGTGTGTATTTCAGAAATGTATGCAAAGGATACACTGATCGTCTATGCTGCTAAGAGAGAACCTGGTGTTGGAAAATCGAGCAAAACCATCACGATACAGCAAGGCCTTCAATGGAATATACTGCGAAAAACAAAAATAAGCTTTTTGTGTTGCCTGCACCGCTTTAAAAATACAGCATTCAAAACATGAAAATGCAACAGTGATGTGAAGCGTGAAACAACCAAAACAACAAAAATGCTGTGTGTAATACTGTTAATGCAAAAACAGTATCTTAGCACCACTGTTAATGCAAAAATAAATCTCTAATTTCAGTAATCAATAGACAAAACCACAATACAACAAGTAACAGTTGTTATGAAAATGCATTATTAATAAACTTAAGTTTATTTAAAGGGACATAAGACAGCTATTTGGTTCTGTGTGAGCCACATCAAGCTACTATATGACTTGCATTTATTTTCTTGTACTATTATAACATTAACAATATAGTCAACTATAGGAATTATTCAACAGAAATATTACAAAATATCTGCTTTATACTGCTGATGCCATTTTCATTTTGAGTGTGTATTCATGATGTTGAACAATCAGGTGGTACAAGTCAGAGCAAAGAGTAAATTCATAGTTTATTAATGTTGTAACTCAATTGAAATCTCATAATTGCACTAATTCTGACATGGTG